TTATATTCTAGTATATACTTTTACTATTAGACTAGTTAAGTATACGAATGTATTTCGTAGTAAACCAGCATCTCCTACAGTACTATTCAAATGTCATAGTTTCCCTAAAGGAGCAAAGCTGCTTACATTTTTCAAGGACGGATGACTCAACCAACAAGGGAGCCGACATCTTTGAACAAGATAGCTCTACTTACGAGGTATCCGAAAACTGAGGTGCTCCAAGAATCCTCGGCAACAATTCCCACACGCCTATTTCGCCTAATACTGCCTGAAGTAGTATCGTGACGTCTCGCAGTCGATTTGTCTAAAGGACACCGGATGAAGGACACGGTTGTGTATCCCAAGAACCTCCATGGCCGTTGCATGAGACCCAATGTACTTGTTCCGCACGATTCGAGGCCCCTTCACAATCAGCCCGCCCCCTCGGGTATGCCAGTCCGCAGCTCGTTCCCACGCCCTCACCGCGTCGGCGCTCAGCGAGAAAAGTCGATTGCCGTGCCACTCGACGGATGCCTCCCTCCCGGCCACCTCGTACCGGAACCCGCACACGTTGCCTTTTGTCCCGTTCCAAACGTCCATTCTCGTCAGCGCCGGCATCTTCAGCGCGACCCTCCCACCGTTCTCTAGTATCTCGTTGATCACCGCATCGTCCGACAACCCGTTCAGGTGGCGCGAGGTCAGAGACAGCACAGCCAAGCGGTCCCAGAAATATCCTGGTTTGACGGCCTCGCTGAAAAAGTCGCGAGCATCCACCATGTATGACGCGGTGAGGCTTGAAAGCCGCCGGCTACTCTGCGCCAAGGCTTCGCCGACAAATACCGACGGCGTCCTGATGATCTCGAAAGGGGTCTCCCCTGGCCAAGGGTACAAATCACAAGCCACGGCGTTGTAGTCCTCGTTGAAGTCTTCAAACATGGTGAGGCTCTCGACTGTGTCTGGCAGAGTGCCAATAAGCATCAGTGCGAGATCTATTTCCCCAACCGGCGGTTACTAGCGGTCCCAAAGACGACAGAAGTAGCAACATGTGGGGGACACCTACTACGGTCCTGGGGATACCAGCCCCCTGGTGAAAAACAATCGAATTCTCTCCATGACTCGATGAGGACGCGGCGCAAGCTGGGGAGCCTGCGGATGATGTTTGCCAGTGCCAGCGGTCCGAATTGCCAGCGCGTCTGTCTGCGGACGATGAAGCTTGTGACTGCTGGCGCCGTGGGCAATCCATCTAAATGGCTGAAAGAGAAACCCAATGTCGCCAAGATGGAATGTAGGCTCGGAGGACTCGTTCTTTTTCCTTGGAACCATCCGTTCCTCGGATGCGAGTGGCTCGGCCGGTTTCGCTCCAGAGGCCCATCGACGTCAAAGGGGCTGGTGTCGAAATGCAAGTCGTTGTAAAAGGTGTACTCCATGTCACTGGGTGAACACGCACTGATCTCCAGTGTAAGTCCTGGAGCCCCGGAGCCTTGCTCAGTGTCCCAAGAGCGTAGAAGCTCAAAGGTTCGTCTGATGGTGGCGTTGATCAAGGTTGAATTGGCGTCATATTGCAGGTCACAGACCTCCCAGTAGAAGTCCATGTCGTTGGGGGAGGCGTACGTGGCCAGGTCAACCTTGACCCAGAGGTAGCGCACCATCTTCTGTTGACGTCGAGTAAGTCTGCCGATGCGGTCCAGGGAATCTTGCGTGACGAAGAGGGCGCGATACGTCTCCTGTTCGAAAAACTCGATCCAGTCTTTGCAGACTAGGCCGTGCGAGGGCATGCGGCCGTGCATTCTCTTTAGAGGCCTTCCAACTGCTTGATTCTCTTCTGGTGCTGTAAGCTGAGCAAACACCATGTTGAGTATGATGAGGCGAACATCGTAGGGGAGTCTTGTCCATCCATCCATGTTGATACCGGATGAGGGGGCTCGGATTGGTGGTGTTGTGAGTGAGTTGGCAGAATCGGATCGAAGAAGACGAGAGAAAGAAACTGGACCAGACCTTTTTGGAGTATATATATGTAGTGCCCATAGTGTACGATACAGTCAGTTACGGTTCCCTAGCTTGGGTACGGTCAGGCATATAGTGTTGTGCTACTGGGCCTCCCTCAACGTAGTGCTTGCACGACCATTTAGACAGGTCAAAACCTCAAACTCTATGTATAAGCTATGCATACGCTACGGTATTATGCTTTACCAAGAGAGCAGGGAAAAAGTGTGTCTAGCCATGTGGCGTCCCTCGGCGTCCTTTGGCGTCATCCGGTCTTCATACCTCGAGTTACTTAACCTAGCCCGTGACCAGACGCCACGAGGATTTCAGACCTGGTAACTCTGTTGCATCCAAGTAGAAATTAATGTTGCAACATTATAGAGCATACAGGAATGCAGGCGGCCCGGTTGGCCTGTTGTCCCGCTCCAACTAAAATTTTTCTCCTTGCTAAGGGACTGCGTATTCCAACTCTGACTCCAGCTGCCAATCCGTTTCTCTCTGGGACGGATTGTTCGCTTCCCGTGACTTCTGACTATCTTGGTGCTACACGAGCTGTGACCGATGGTGAATGGCATGGAGATGCATTCGAGATAATTTCTGGCCAAGGCAAAGGTCTTGTGTGCCGGTAAAAGCTAGTTCTTGGCAGTGTGCCCTCGGAGCGCAATTTAGACTATCAACCAATATTCTTTTGGCAGAGAATGTTACTATTTTAGTCGACGCCGTTCCTGTGTAAAAGCTACAGTCTACCGCAGAGTGTGCTCGACGAAGGAGCGGACCAAAGCTTCTGTTACACGGAAAAGGCCTAACATATCGTGAAGCCCAATAAAGGGGATTTACTAATAATAAACTTACTTATTATATAAGTAAAATACGTATTTAGGTAAGAACTTTAAGCCTAGGTATTTCTGTTTTTTATATATATAATAGTTATTAATCTTTTTTTTGTATTAAGAGGTTAGGGGTATCTAGTACTTTTTAATATTGTCTTTGGATTTTAGGCTTTACGTTCTGGGCCCAGTTAGTCCGTCGTCACAGCTCTGTTCCCACTATTAGTTCAAGGGTCAGCCAAGAATCTGGGGAGGATACGTACCGCGTTTATAGCAAGGGGATAAATGTTTTTCCATTCTTCGGCCTTGGTGAGGTGCCTGGTCTCGTATCCTGTACGCAGCCGACATATGACGCCGTTTGGTATTTAGGACAGCTGAGGGATAGTCCGCCTATTAGGAGCTGTATACATGAGCGCTATATCATATATAACCTAACCTAAATAATAAAAGTATTTAATTTATAGCTCACTTTAACTTCTAGCTGTAGCCCCCACTTATCTCCCTAACTACCCTGTGTGCCGTAACGATGTATTCTTTGTGATAATATCCGCCGGATTAAGAAGGTCATGCTATTAATCCGTGTAGCATGATGTATAACCCACATAATAATACCCTTTGCCAAGTCATGAAAAAACTTAAAAAAACCCGGAAAAAGCACGTATATTTAAGCATCAGTACATTACATATAAGGTGTGGCAGACTAAATGTCCGGTGTATTTATCATCTTGTGGAGCGATGTACGGACTCGGTTAGAGGAGGCAAAGTACCGCTTAAAAAGCAGTAAAATAGGGATTATATTAATTTTATTATATAATAAGTAAAAGAAAAAATCAATTATAGCTATTCTTTACTAGCCTTTAATAAAGAACTAAAAAACAGCCTTTATACTAGCTAAAAATATCTGATTTATAATAAACTTATTCTTAGTAACTAGGAGAAGCAGTTAATAGCCTAGATAACCTATTAACTCTAGGTAAGAGAGGAGTAGGCAATTTATCAGGCACTTATACGTATATATATCTTTAGGATCAGTCAGATAATAGGTGATTAAAGCGCTTAGAGCTATATATATAATAATACGTTTATAGTCTACTCCCAATAAGTCAGGGCACTTTATTAGATACCTATTAAAAGCGTTTACTTCACTAAGAGGTACCTTAAAGAGAATAGAATACTCCCGCTGCTAATACACAGAGATAAATTAATACTTCCTATTAAACCAAGTACTTAAAGCGATATAATAAATACTATCCGAAATAGGAGTGCTGATCTACCCAGGCTTTGACGAGCTTCTCTTTATAAGGATCTAGCCAAGCCGTCCTGCCATAACCCACTTCAATCAGACGATCCGGCAAATACTTCTAGTCGTTCTTTCAATACGACCTCAAGACAAATCAGCAGTTATTAGATAAGGCTGTCTCTGTTAGTTGAACAAGCAGACTTAACGTAATTGCTAGATGTTATAAAATCACTGATATTAGTAGTTTAAGAGGCTGACCAGCCACCCTGATTTTATCGGGTGGTTGGGAAGTCTTCTAAATTAAAGATATTAGAGACTGTGGGAATAAGATAGTGTTATAGCTGTCTTAAATAGAAAAAAGTATAAGGGAGCACTTTCTGGATCTCTTATCAGCGTCGACGATTCTCTTATCGAATTCGCAAACGCATTAGTCGGAGATTTAGCAGTCACGGTGAGGAGGGATTCTAGCGGACTATTGCTAAGACAGCGGAAGAAGTCCACTAAGTCGAGGACAAAGTAGACGATGTTTGTAGAGCTCATAGCATCTAGGTTGGCCTCAAGCCCTTGTAGTTCTAGCCCCGTCCATGCCCTCTATAGCGGCGTCCCGCCATAGTTATCCCTCGCCTCGACATCGATTATACCCGTCTCGAGCAGCAGCTTGACGACGGCCTCGTGCCCGTTCTCAGCAGCCATAAATAGCGGCGTCCGATTCGCCCTGTCTTTACACTCGATATCGGCGCCGTTTTTAAGCAGCAACTCAACAATAGCATTATGCCCGTTCTTAGCAGCTATAAGTAGCGGCGTCTGATTTGCCTTATCTTTACACTCGATATCAGCGTTGTTTTTAAGCAGCAACTCGATAATAGTATTGTGCCCGTTCTCAGTAGCTATGAGTAGCGGCGTTCGACCGTACTCATCTTTAGATTTAACGTCGGCTCCTTTATCGAGCAGCAGCTCGACGATTGCCTTATTTCCCTTTTCGGCAGCCCACGAGAGTAGTGTCTGACTATAAATCCTGTCCTTTAACTCGTAATTAGCGCCGTAATTAAGCAATAGTCTAACGATAGCATTGTGTCCGTTCTCGGCAGCTACAAGTAGCGCCGTCCGACCGCATAAGTCCGTCGAATCGACGTCTCCACCAACTGCTAATAACACTTCAGCAGTTGTACAAAATCCTTTCCGAACTGCGGTATGCAGGGCTCTGTGCCTAAAGTCCTTAGCGATAACGGCCCGTTTATTAATTAAGGGAATGTGATTTAAATGTGCTCCAGCCCAACTCTCCAGCAAGTAAGCAGTTGGATCATCGATCAAATCTCTATTAAGCTGAGAAATAGCACGTTTAATATTGGCATTTGGCTTGCACTTATTAATGTGATATTTGAGATAGCTTAGTGCATACACTGCCAGTGGCCTTTTGTTTAGGTATCGGGTGTACTTTTCGAAGTGGATTGGCGTCCAGAATCTGACATCTGGTAGTCTCTGTACTAGAGCGGTGTTTACTGCACAGAGCATAAGATACCGGATACAGGTTATAGATATACCAATATGGGCATCTTTCTCGTACATCCGAAAGCCAGAGTTCGCTATATACCCGCTATTTTTCAGGAAGAACTCGCGGACAGTTTGATGCATGACTTGAACTATCCTGTTTTCTACAAGTCTGTTAGTTTAAGGTTTAAAAAATCGAAGTAAGTTATGCCAGTACCATCGTGTCGCTTAATTTCCAAGAAGTTGCCTCCGCAAGATAGGATACGTAGCTCGGATGAGGGAACACTTTTTTGAAATGAATCGTCTGAAGGAGTGAACTTGGGATAAAGTTCAGGGTCATCTGGAATACCAAGAGCATGAAGTAGTTCATCCACAGCAAGTGGGCGTCTTGCAAAGAGGACGAACCGGAGCATTTTCATCCCATCTAAGAGATTTTTTCTCGTCATTTTCTTGAGCATGTGCTCGTAGAAGTCTTCCAGCTCGGTAGGAAGCTCTCTGAGCAAGTCAAAAACCTGTTTCTCAGAACAGCCCTCCTCATGGAAGCTCACCAGCTCCTCCCCAATCAATTTTACCCACAAGAATACCCCCTGAGCATTTTTAACGATGTATTCAGTTGCTTGGGCAAGAAGATGCGTAAGATTGAGGCCATCAAGTAATGAATAAGCGAAATTAAAGATATCCAATCTTGTTGCGTCCTGTAACCTTATAAAGTTATGAAATTGGCCCCGGCGGGCCTCAAGCTGTGCTACCGGCCGACTTGCAATGAAGACCTTGATGACGCAGTATTCCACTCTGGAACAAAGTTCGAAAAGTAGCTTAAGTATATCCCGCCTGTCGGATTCCTCGGACTCATCTACCGCATCGATGATCAAATAGAACCGCTGCGTTGATAAGTAATCTTGTAAAGATCTGAGAACTCTCTTTAATGATGCGTAAGCCCAATTAACGCGAAGGCCACCGCGAGGCTGAAGTCGATACTCAGTTTGAAATTGATGGTAAAAGAAGTTCACGTCCTGGCGTAATATGTCATACAGAATCGACAAAAGCATATTATAGTGACTTCTTTGAAGCTCACCCTCTCTAAAACTGTAAAAGAATCTCGCCACAATTGCCGATTTTGCTGCTGGCTCTAGCTTTAGGAGGTTGTGGTTAAAATACTTTGTAAGAGTACTCTTGCCGCTTCCAGGTTTTCCTTGGATGTATAAAACTCGGGAGGTATTTTGGGTAATCCAGTCCCTATACTCGCTATGCGTCCAAATCCACTCGAAGGAGCCTTTCTGCTCTTCGGAAATTTTGTCGTAGCGAGTGTTATTAAAGCGAAGGCTCTCTAAGCACTCTTTGTTGATTGAGATCAGTCCATCGTACAGTCAGTGAATAGGATGCTAACGAACCTATTCTTTCCCTATCATGCTCAATGCATCGAACCCTGTCAATTAGACCTTTAATTTCATCCAGTGGTTCGCTGGAGAGCAGAATCTTCGCTTTTGAGTTTCGTTGCAGTAGATATTCCATGACTTCTTCAACACCACTGACGAACTCGCCTCTCTGATGCTTGACTTTGTCTAACCCGTCGACGACAAGTAATAAATCTCGTTCCGCTTCATCGTCCAGAGCCGTTTTTAGGGCAGTTAGTAATTCATTTGATGTTGCGACATCGAGGATCTTCTTTACGCTTTTTGGGGGGTCTTGTTCCAGGAAGCCTCGGTCTTTCCAATGAGGAACTGCTCCGTCTTGGAAAGCCTCCAGAAGAAGTCTATGGAAGAAACGGCGGATGGTAAGTATTCCACGGCCCACCGTCGAATAACGGACTATCTGTGCAAGGAGCGTATGAACGAAAACAGCGACAATTGGTTGTCTTCCAGTTGCAGCAGAACAGAAAAAGTGTAAAACGCGACAGTCGGACTTTTTTGCTCGCCTTAAAATGTACGATGAGACTTGAGAGATGCTGCATTGAGCCGGGCCACAGAGACAAAGAACTTGAGGACACTTGCCAGATTCCCATTCCTTAAAATCTATGTTCCTAAAAATCCAACAGAACATAGGGTTATCACGATCCAGGAGTGGCATTGCAGATGTTTGCTCGTCGCGGTCCACTCCCGATAGCAAAAGAAGGAACTGATCTAGATCCAACTCATTAATAGCGGTCGACATGGTTTCCTGTATTCAAATATCAGACGCCAAACTTCCATCTTCTGGCAGATAATTGACATACTTTTATGGCCTCATTCACAGTATGCGTGGAGGCTACGTCAGCTGCAGGTATAACCGACAAGATTTCCTTAGCACATGCAGCAGCTGTGGCAGCCGCGTAGGGTTGCCACTTCTTGTTCTTGTGTGAGTCCGCATAATCGGAAATACCTCGAATAACAAGGCAAGGGAAGCTATTCATCAGTCCTGCTGCCTCCATTTCAAAGGACAATACTCCGCCTAGCTCCGCGCTAAGCCTGTCCCTCGTACTGCCATCCTTCATGACCTTGTTGCCTGAGGCTATCGTACCGTAATGGATCACTACATCTTGATCCATCCGTGGAGGTCGCTCTACTTCTTTCTCTCTGCTACATGACTCACATGTTGTTGCTCTTCCAATGTGGCGATACATTGCCTCAAATAGCACGTCGCGCCCGGCTGTACTACGACTGAAGCGTTCTAACCGATTGAAAGTAGCGAGATGTGTAGCGAGATTGCTAAGGTTTCGGTAGTGGAGCGCTCGTATCTCTGAGACTGCGTTAAGTAGCACTGCCGGCGGTGCGTTAAGCGACCCCATTCGTACCAGTTGACCACCTGCCACGGTCTTCCCAAAGTCGTACTGCACTACTCCTCCGTACTGTTGGTCAGGTTGACTGATTACTACATCCCCAAGTCGTATATCTGCTTCAGGGCTGGGGACACCGCCGCCGATACCAACCATCAAGCAGAAGCGGATTGACCTGAACTTGGACGTCATTCGCGCTGCAACTATGGCGGCAGAGTGAGTGCCTAGTTGTCCAGAGGGAAGGCATGCCAAGACAACATTGTGGTTACCGATGCGGCCGAGTTTGTAGAGAGTGGGATCAAGGCTATCTTGCGGGGTCTGATGCTCTTCATCCAGCAACTCCTGCGCAGCGGCAAGTTCGATGGCGAGGGCGCATACCCATCCCACTGTATAGCTATCATTTGTAAGAAGAATGAAAGGTGTAGTCTCGCGTTGCGGTGAGCCGGCGCAAGGCGAATTGGATTGGGAGTAACCACGAATGACGTGGCAATCACGCTTCGTAGTCGGCAGCTCAAGGCTCATTGCGGGGCGTTTTCCACCAGCCATAGGTACGTAGCTGCACAAGGGAAATTGAATTAGCAAGAATATTTCAGACAGGAAGAAACGTATATGAATACCTGAGATGGGCCGAAGTCTTCTGTCGCGACTGTGTTGGTACGATGGTCAGAGGCTACGAGCGTGACGTAGACCTAAAAAGAATTGCAGAGATAACCAGCCTGATACTCGACCGCTTCACCTACATCGATTAACGACCCAAGTCTGCGCTGAAGCTCAATGACAGAAAGTATTTCGCGAGGCAGGATAATTATACAGCAAACGAGGATTTTGTCTTTAAACGAAAAGCGGTTAGCAATATTGGGTGGAATCGGTGCCAACCACAAATCCACGTCCGGCGCCCCCGCCCTCCCCGGAACAGCGGGCGCATACCCGCAATTTGGGGAGCATCTCTTGCCCAATCAACCCGTTTTTATGCGTGTGCCACAGAGTGATATCACACCAGACACTTGTCATGCTGTAAGCGAATCGATTGAACCGCAGGTCGACAGGCTGTATCATACATTTTCTGAGCGCGACAGAGAGTGCTTTGCAGACGCTGTCTCTGCAGCTCTGCATAACGCCAATCCTCTCTCTCTCTCTCCTTTTTGTTCTTTCTTCCAGTGACACACTGCGCAAAGCAGAACTGGCGTTGGCGATTCAATTGCAGCTTTGTTTTAAGTCCTTGCCTTCCTGTTAAGATTGTCGCTAGCAGATAGTTCACTTGTCCTCATACACAAAGAACATTCCAGCTAACACTTTCGGTGCATAATGCAGCCTCTCAACCAACCACGAAGCGGAGGTTGAACGGGTCACACGCATGTATTGTTATTCGACGGGGGTCAGAGTCGAAGGCACCTGCTGCTTTAGTGAGGCTGTCAATCTGTCAAGTACTACTGGCCCACCAAGCCACATTGGAAAGGTCGACATCCACGAGGCACACATTCTACTTAGCCTAGCCAGGTCAAACACAAGCAAAGAGAAGCTACTGTACCTTTCGCTGCCCAATATATAATGTGTGGCGGCTCCAACGCTCACATAACGGAGAAAGTTAGAGGAACTATTTAATTATATT